AATGTTTTTTGGCTGGAGTGCCGAAAAACACCATAATGCCTACCTCAGAAGGTGCCGGAGTGCTGGCATGGCAGAAAAACAAAATGAAGGCAAGGGGTACGTGGCAGGATGCTCTGCTTGTGCCCCTTGCCCCCCACCCAAAGCCCGTGCCCCCTAGCCTGGGTTCTGTGGCTGCCAGCAGCTATCCTGGCTCTGGGTAGCTGCTGGAACCTGGGCTGCTCCCAGCAGGGTTTGCAGTGTCCCAGCTACCTGCTGGGAGCAGCCCAGGCTCCATTGCTGGCAGTAGCTTCCTGGAGCTGGGGCTGGCCGTGGCATCCCAAGCAAAATGGCCTTGCATGCCACACTAGGCACGCATGCCAGGGGTTGCCAGCCCCTGCTGTAGTCCATAAAGTTGCCGGGTCATCCTCCTTTTTCTAATACAGTACTTTGTAAAAAAGAGAAAAAATATTTTTCTTCATCTAGATTTTAAAATATTAATTGTATACATAGTAATTCTGAACCTCTTCCTACATCTGTTTTATAAACTACTACCTAAAAATTGTCTCACTTGTGGTATGTCTTAGAGTTGCTATCACTAAGATTTAAAGAAAGAAGATAAAAATTGATGTTGGCATATGTTAACATAAAAGATGTACTTCTAATATACCCTGCCTTGGACTTTTCCTCAGGTAATCTAGGTTGAAGTACAACGGAAACAAGCAGCTTGCTGTTAGGAAATTATTTCTATCTGTAGCTTTCCACCCCCCTCCACACTGATCCTAAAATCCTTTAGAAGTTTATTGTTAAACAGAAAGACTTGTAGAAAATTAAACAAGGAACTCAAATGGTACTATATTAAATATGCTTGTGTCCAAGTAGATGTTGTGTCTTGGTTTTACGTGATGTAACACCTATAATTTTTACCAGGCTTCTAATTTTGCAACATACAGTGCGTTACATTAATTTTGATTTGTTACCCTGAAAAACAGTGTTGTAATGACACCAACAAATATCTTTGTATTTTGCATTGTAAGACTCAATTCTTGGGTCTGGTATTTCATTATTTCTGTATTACTTTTGCTATAGGATGTCAGCTGCAATGAAATCACAGCTTTACCACAGCAGATAGGTCAGTTGAAATCTCTAAGAGAACTGAATATCAGAAGAAATTACCTCAAAGTTTTACCACAAGGTAAAAACAAAACAACCCCCCCCCCCAACTTTAAAATTCTTTTAATTTGGAATGTTGAAAATTTCCATTTGTTTGATTGTGTAAATCAATAAGATTAAAAATATCAATTTTCTTGTGTTAAAATTTGTTCCATTTCAAGTTACTGCCCATTAAAACAATTGCAACGTTTTTACTTTATAAGGGAGAAGCAAGGTGTGCAGTTTCTATTTTTTAATGTGATGATTCTTTTGTGATTGATACTGCCTTTAAAGTATTAGCTAAATGGCATTTGATAACAAATAGCATGGAAGCAGATCTTCACCTACTGTAAGTTGTTACAGCTTTAGAATATTCTGAATGTCCTTTTCTACTGTCCGAGCTTAGCAGTTGCTGTGTTTCCCTTCTCACAACGGATCTGCAACACTTGATACCAGTTGAGGATTTACCCCACAGAATCTTAGAATTAATTTAACCATCTTGAAGCAAAATAGAAGGTGGACTTAAAGGAAAATATCCACTCACCTGTTGTTTCCTAGTATTTGATTGTCAGGCCACCAGTAAACTGTTGTGGAGCAGTTTTTACATGATTCTTATGAAGTAATGGCATATAGAGATACATACACAATAAAACAAACTGTAGCAAACTGTGAAACCTGATGTAAATTTGAATTTACAAGGTGTATGAGCGTAGGATAAATTTGAGACCAACTCCCTCTCTTCATGAATTCTGCCTGACAGACTAACGTTCAAATTCTTACTCAGATAAAATTTCTGATAAATTAAAGTACAGACCAGATTATTCAGCAGTCTCACATTCTTTATTGATAATGAGAACCCTGGAAAATAACTGGATTCAGTAGTAAAGTTTTGCAGGAAAAGGGAGCACAGTTACTCAGTCTGGCTTTGATTCGTGACAGTCATTGATAATGTGATAGGAAAAGTGATGAATACATTTAGCTCATTTTACTTCTTGCACTTTAATCCCATTTCCATTCCTTTTATGGAAACATTACCTTCAGGGAGATCTTGTCAAAATTCCCTGAGTCTGTCCCATCAGCACTAACCCTAAGTCAGTAATTTGAGATGCTGAGGCTTCCTTTGTAGAGCCATGCTTCTTTTGTAGCATAGTCTAATCCCCCCGAAAATAGTTCCATCAGAGCAGTTTAAGGCCACTGCCTGCCTGTTCTCCTTCAAAGAATACATACAGTATATTTTACCCAATCTTGGTAACAGTCCTTCTGACTTCTAGAAATGAAAGTTGGAGAGTGTGCTTTTTATTTAATGTGTTATGGAATTTCTTTACAAACCTGTTTGAGTTTATAGAATGTATAGATTGAAATAGCCAAGCTTTCCTTTACAGCATGAGAGGTATTGGATTTAATTTCAAGCAGCTGTCAGTATAGCAGCTTAGTTGGCCTAGATACTTGAAATTGCTGAGGTTTGCCCATGTCAGTATGTAGAGACTGTTGGAATATATTTTTATGTGAGGGCCTGCAAAATATATATATTTAAGTTACAAGATTGTACATGTGCTTAGAAGATAAATTGGATTTAGTGTACTGTGGAATTGTTACTTCTTCTCATTAGAAGTGGAGTAATCAGTAGTTGGTTCATTTATTTTGTGTAAAAAAATAATATAATAATGATGATCTTTCTGTTACTTTTAGAACTAGTAGAGCTTCCCTTGGTAAAATTTGACTTTTCCTGCAATAAAGTGCTCGTGATTCCACTTTGTTTTAGAAAGATGATGCAGTTACAAATATTATTGCTTGAGAATAATCCTCTTCAGTCACCACCAGCCCAAGTAAGTAACATCTGTTGTTCAAATTCTTCTTTTAGCATGAGAGCAGAAGCATAGCAAATGTCAAGCACAGTCTGCTTTAATTACTGCAGTATAAAACTATTTTATTTCTTGTTTTTCAAGATTGTAAGTCCAGTAGTGATCTATAAATTTTAATTTTTACACCCATAGATTTAGCTAGGCTTTTCCTTTTTGAGATATAAAATACATCTTCTCAACTTCTGCACTTGCGTATACTACATCTGAAAAGAGAGATTAAACGATTCTGCCTTTTAAACTGCAAGTGCATTATTTGTAGGGCTTTATTTTGTTTTCTGTATTTGTTCACTGCTTAATGTTTAATGAACAGGATATTGTATATTGGTGGAGGGGATCACTGCAAATTTTCTGGATTAACCTCTATTCTATAGTTACAGCCAATAAGTCAAGACACTATTTCAGAAACTTTGGATGTGATTTTTACCATTATGTCAGAGGTCACTAATACATGCAGCCTAGAGAATAACCCAATTAAAACTTTTATCTGTAAAGCCTCTTGTATTGGATGCACATAGGAACTAATGGGTTGTATCACTAAATATGTCCCACAGTGAGGTACTTAAATGCCAGTTAACGCAGCTTTTACTGTACTTAGGTTATCTTGTGCTGGACACTGTTTTCTGTTGTTGCTTTGACTCAGTAAATGACAGGTTCCAACTATAATTTTTTTCAAGTGCTAAAATGATTGTTCATTGACAATTGTTATTTGCATACAATAAAAATAGAAGATCAGTTGCTTACGTAAGCAAAATGTGTTCTATTTTATATTAGCCCTAAAGCCCGTTTAAAAGCAAGGTAAAAATGATGCTCATGTTAGACGGTAGATCACAGAAAAACTCTTAGATGTTAATAGGCATCTCAAAAGTGTATAGACATTTTGTAAAGAAACTATAGCTAAATGTAAAGGGACATGTTAATAGCCCTTTCAGTTAATTTAAAATAATCATTTTCATGCTTACTTAGAAACTATAGAATATATGTTATGTAATATTTCTCAGTTGGAGAAAATATGTACATTACTTGTAGATTGTCAATATTGAATAGGTTGATACGATCCCTTTTTGTGTGAATTTTCATCATTTTTGATGTCAGAGCGGCTTTATATTACTCTGAATTTGTTTTGTCTAGTTGATGTAAACTTTTCTTGTCCAGACCATGTTGAATTACAGTGGGCCTGCTGCAGTTAAAACTTTCATTGTTTCTAATATTACTATTTAACTACTTCTCTAAAATGGCAAGATATACATTGCGACTTTTAAAAAGTGGGAATCTAAGAGAAAATGTCCTACCCTGTCATTTTGAACAAATTGTTTCTTCCAACTTTTTCCCCCTCATCCAAATAGATTTGCACAAAGGGTAAAGTGCACATATTCAAATACCTGAGCATACAGGCATGTCAGATTAAAACAGCGGACTCGCTTTATCTTAATGCCATAGAACGTCCACACTTGCAACAACCTGTGGAGGAGAGGTAAGTATAAAGAGCTTATACTCAGTTATTTCATATATGTTTTTGGTGACTAGAACAAGTAGAATACATTTCCTATTCCATTTTTATTCAACTATGTAACCTGTTGAATGAAAGTTTGATCCAAATTAATATATTTTATTCCAGAAAACCCTGTCATAATTTAGAATACATATGATATTTATGTGACTAATATGATTTTGAGTAGTTATGAAATATCACCCTTCCCACATATGATAACCGTGTTATTTAATGAAGGCATTTTATTGTTTGTGGGCTCAGATTAAATGTATTTATTTTTAAATCCACATTGTTGCCTTGCATCTTTCCCTTCTCATTTTGTCTCTGGAAGCTAAAATAAGGGGTTTTATCCTAAATTATTTAATTGTTCATGCGACCTTAACTTCATTTTATGAATTAATTAACCAAAATATAATATTTAATGACTGAATGAGAAACTCAGAATAATGCTACATGCTGTATTTCTGATGAATAAGTTAATAACTTTGATTTTGTTAAAATGTTAACTTTTAAGGGCAAGTACACTGGGACAGTAAAAAGCAGTCACAACCTATTGCTGTTTTCCTGTTTTATATCCCTAGAGCAGCCAAGGTGGCCAAAGTATATTGGTGAATCAGGCCTTTAGTTTCAAATAGCTTACTCGTCGAGAAGGCAGTGTAATGTAATATAATATATCATATTTTATAATATACTTTCTGAAGTGTCACATGTGCTTTGAAAACAAATGTCCTTTTCATTTACTAGCATCTTTACTAGCCACTTTTCTTTCTTTCTTTTTCTTTTTCTTTCTTTCTTTCTTTCTTTCTTTCTTTCTTTCTTTCTTTAGCGAATGCAAATCCACAGAGCCAAGCAGTAGCCAATGAGAAATCAAAATGTATGGAAAATACATTAAAAATAGTTCATGCTATTGAGAATAATCTTTTAGTTAAAGGTTTTTAAATAAATACATAACTTTGCAGAAATTTCAACAGATTATTTTCACAGGCAATCACAGTGTTTACTGACAACAGATGGTGAAAGATTAGACCTAATAAGAGACCTGGCTCTTAGAGAGTCTTAAAATGTCATTTTTCATTTTCTTGATAAACATGTCTAGCTTAAATGAAACTGGTTGTTATGCCTAAATGATAGATTTAAACATGAACTTTCATAACTAGAAAAATCTGTGATGAAAATCTGTGATTTTTAATTCCATAACTAGGAAAAAACTCTGTGATGAAAAATTGAAATAAGATATGATGATAATTGCACTATCTTAAAAAGGAGAATATGACAGACAGTTACTATAGAATGAGTAGTGGTCATATTTGGCAATAAAAACAGAGCAGAAAGCACCTGACATTACTATGATTCCCTTGTTACATCATTAACCAACAAAGATTGTTTTTACATCAATGCGCATTAAAATGGTTCCTATGTCATAATTACTTTACATTTCAGAGATATATAAGAACTCTGGGATATTAGTTAGTTTTTAGTTTATTAATTCTAAGATTACAATTCAGTTGACTCTAGTCTGAATTCAGCATTTTGGTTGATCTGAAGTCAGTTCAGGAATTTAAATAGTATTAGTGGTGCTAAACTGCTAGGTAACAACTAGCAAATTTTACCTTCTGAGAGAGCAAAAATGACTTTACTGTAGATTGTGTCTCAGTCTTAATAAATGTTTTAATTGTACTGCCAGACATCTTTATTGAATAACTTGTGGAGTGTTACATCTGATCCATTTTCAGTTGAACTTTTGCCCAACAGTATCTTAAATGTGTTACGTTAGCATAGTAAGTATCTGATTCTGTGCCTTGGAAGACACTAGCTTTACCATTGACTTCTGTGATACCAGCATCAGATTCTAGTTACATACTGAGAGAGTTTTCTGTTGGCTTTTTTTTACATTTAGCATGGATGACATCTATCCAAATAAGAAGGATTCTGATTCGGGTGTTGGTAGTGATAATGGCGATAAACGCTTGTCTGCAACAGAGGTAAACTGTCTGCATTATTGCTCTTCAATCATTTTGGCTTACACTTGCAGTTGGATAGGTTTGTAAAATGTTCCTTTAGATCTTAGAAATATGCAGCCCAACCTTTGTCAGCACTTTTTGCAACAGTAGACTTGGAATCAATGAGGGCAAAAAGCAATTTTTATTCTGGATACCTTCCGAGGATGGAAGTCAAAACACTGATTTCAGGTAGTTTAACAGTCCATTACTGAATAACAGAAATTCATCAGAAATGGATTACTGTTTGTCTTAGGCAGGATTTTGGAATGTGCCAAAAATAGCCCAGTTCATGCAAATTAGCCTTCTAATAGGGCATTTTTGAAAATCTAACACTTGACACGTAGTTGTTAACGTAATATAATGATAAGTGAAAAGCAGTGCAAAGTTGTGTGTGTCTTCAATAGAATTAAATGTGAAGTTCTTCCTTCTGCCGTTCTTGTGTTTACTTTTTAATCCTTGGTGTACTGTTGATCATTTTACTACCCAAAATGCCACTTGAAATCACAGACCCAATGCTTATATCTGCTTTATAATGTTTTTTTTTAATTTGGCTGTTTGATTCTGTAAGTATTCATGAAAACAGATGCTAGAATGACACTATTGCTGAAATGACATTTTTGGAAGCCCTGAATTGAGAATTGATCTTTTTGAGGTGTATGTTCCTAAAAGTTCCTTTGGAATTCGTTGACTGAGATTCAGAATGTGGTATTTTTGAAAGAAAAAGAAGGGTGGGCAATAGGGTGAGAGTCTGGGGAAGGAATAAGGTATTGTAAAAATAGTAGTGTAGAGAAACTGAAACTAGAGGAGTTAAGGAGAGAGAATAAGAAGGAACAAATGGCAAAGAGTGTGAAAGAGAATGGTAATTGTGTAACTAAGGCCACATATGGATATTCAGTTTCTCCTGGGAGAATCACTGTTCTCCCAGGAAAAATCATAAGTGTGTAGATGTCAGGATTTTTTTTCCAGAGCAAAAATAATTGCTCCAGGAGAAAAATAACCTGGCAGCAATCAGGGTTAAATCACTCCCAGGAGTGAATGAGAGAGAGAATATTTCTATATGTTCTCTTCCTAGAGATGTCATAGCACAGATCTGTAGTATCGCAGGGTGCTTTGCTTCTGTCTCTCTCTCCCCCACCTCCTGGGATACAGTGTGTCATTCATTGGATGCTACTAAGTCCAAGTAGGGAGCAGAACATATCCCTCTTCACAAACCTCACAATATATTGCCAGGAGATGCAGGCTGACTGAGCAGTCTAGGTCAGCCAATCAGCACTTCCATATGCACTGCTGCCATTCTATCTCCCAGCAGACTGAGGGAGCCTGCAGAGCACACTGAGATGTATGTACAGAGGGGCCCCTTGCTGTGCAGTATCTGCAGTGTTCATCTCTTTATTCTTTAAGCGCTCAGCATTTGGATGTCTATTCAGATGTTTCCAAGTAAGTTTTTTCTACCAGGAGAAAAAAACCTGAGAGAATTTTCCCAGATTAGTTGAACGTGTGTACATTGCCTGTGTTAACTGTGTAATACAGTTCACAGTTTATCCTGTCTTTCAGATTATAAGGAGCATGCCTTTGTTTTTGTATAGCATGTACCACTCCCAAATCATTGATCCTAAGTAATAAAATGTAATATCACGTAGTCGCATAATGAATGGTATATGTTTTCCTTTTCATTTTTGTGGAAAGGCTGCTGTCATTTTCTAATGTTTTCAAAAGTGTCTCTTTTCATAGGAAGGTGGGTGGCCTCCCCTGATCCTAGCTGTGACCCACCTTTGCACACTAGGAACTCTTACATAGACATCTGTGGATTTATTATTTTTTTTGTGGGTCCCACAATCACAGTGTTGAAGGGTAGTGAAAAAGATCAACACATGGGGCACACTGGGTATGTCTGCTTAGAATAATAATGTATCTGAGCTAATTGATAGGGCTATATGAAGCTTTGGTCCCTGATTCGATTTGGCCTGATTCAGTGGCTGAATCTCCAAATCGAATCAGGAGACCCTTTAATCTCTCTGAATTGAATCAGAACCCTCCAAATTGATTCAGAGAAATTCAGAAAGATTCAGCGATTCGAACATAGACACAGCTTTAACTGTTTATTCTAAATACTTCAAGGTATCAGGCGGCTCGTGAATGCTGCGATGCTGGGGTGAATGGAGAATCCCACAGGATGTGGGGGCTCCCCAGTGTGCTTGGCAGCACATCCGGAAGTGGACCAGAAGCACTTCCTTTCCACTTCCGGGTCCTCTGGAGAGCGCGTGGGGGGCCCCCCTGCACCTTCCTGGCTCAGCAACTGGTGCCCCTTGAGTCTGGGGGGGGCCCCTGAGGTCCCCCCCTGCAGCTGATCGCCGAGTTGGGAGGGTGTGTGTGTGTGTGGGGGGGGGGGTCTCCCACCGCTTGCTGCCCCGCGGACCCAGAAGTGAACTGGAAGTACTTCCAGTCCACTTCTGGGTTCACCACTGAGCTTGCAGGGGGCTCCTGTTCACTCCTGTGGGATGCTCCATCCACCTCAGCATTGCAGGGTTAACGAGCCACACCTGGTACCTCTAGGTATGTAGAAAAAACATTTAAAGTTGTGTCTATGGGCGAATCACTTATTCCTGAAATAGCATTGAATCTTCAGATTCGGCCGAATCGAATCAGGGACAGTGATCCAAATCAACTAACCAAATCACTGTCCCCGATTTGGGC